CACCATCAGCGGGTGTGAGCAGCGGCTACTGCTCCAATCGCCCCTCAGGAGCAGGGGGAGGTGGAGAAGCCCTCAGGGATGATCGGGGCCATCAGCCACCACTCACACCTGCTGATGGCACCGAGCAATTGGGACCAAGACCGGGTGCTGGCTACGGGTGTGAGCGGGGCCGGTGCTGGCAGTGGGTGTGAGCAGCGGCTCCAGCGCCAGCAGTGGGTGCAAGTGGGGCCGGCACTGCAGGTGCGAGTGCCAGACAGGACATGGCGAGGGAGCAAAGAATTTTCAGTAACCACCAGAGGCTCGCCCCGATGACAGTGACCGGCACCCCACCTTGGTCTGGCACCCCCACTCACCTGCTCCACCATCCCACCGTAGCCAACCCTCGCCATGTTCTGCACACACTCCCTGGTGGTCAGTGCACATCATAACGAATGGTTGTTTTGTTGTGTTGGTTCCACCGTTTGGTCTATTTGCATATTAGCCTTTTATTATATAGGATTAGAAAAACAATTTAAATCAAATTTGTTGAGGAAATGTTTACATAAAATAATATATACCTATTTTAAATGTTCAGTTTTGGTGAGTTCTGATAAATAGAGACACATGTAACCACCACCGTAATAAAAATATAGAACCATGTCCATCATGCCAGAAAGTCCACACATATTCCTGCAATCACTTTCCCTTCCACTGATCTGTTTTCTGTCACAGACTAGAGCTGTTTTTCTAGAATTTCAAATAATAGAATCAGACACTATGGCTCTTGTGTCTGGTTTCTTTCACTTAGTATAATGTTTGAGAGTCACTGATATTTTGATAGCAGTGGTTAGCTCCTGTTTATTGCTCAGTTGATACAATGTGCTTATCCATTCCCCTGTTGGTGGACCATTGAGCTGTTTCTAGTTTTTGGCTATAAGGAATAAAACTGCTTGGAAGATTTGTGTGTACGTCTTTGTGTGAACATATCTTTTTACTGTTAGCTTCTACTTTAAGGTCTGTGATCAGTTTTTGTTTAATTTTTGTATAGGGTATGAGATAGAGGTGAGGGTCTTTTTTTTTTCTCCCCTAAATGTATCTCCAGTTGTTCCAGTCATTTATTGAAAAGACTTTCCTTGATTAAATCACCTGTGTACTTTGTTGAAAATCAACTGACCATATAATGCGGACCTAAAATTTTAGACTCTATTCTATTCCATTCAGATATATGTCTGTCTTTATTCCAGTACCACACTGTCTTGGCTTTGTAGTTATTCTTAAAATCAAGTATTCTGTCAAGTCCTCTAGGTCTTCAGATTTTGTTCTTTTCAAACTGTTTTCCATTCCAGATCCTGTTGAGCAGTAGAGCTGGGAGTTGATGTTTTAGTTTATAGTGTAGAGGCAGAGCAGGAAGAGTACAGTAGGCTCAGGCAATGATAACTGTTATTCTCTATTGATATTGTCAACGTATTCCTGAGGTATAGGTGGCCTGTCCTCTATTTCTACACAGTAAGTTGTCCTCAAATAAGTGTTTCAAGAGAAAACCTGTTAACCATAGGTAGACATTGTATAATTTTAAACAAGGTATTTTATCCTTCCCTAGCAATCAGTTGCATACAGTTTTGGTCTAAGTATTTTCTTTTGTATTCCACCAGAATCTTGAGCTGAATGATGATACTGTTCTAAATGAGATAAAGTTAGCAGATAGTGAACAGTATCAGATGCCCAACCTGTGTGCCGAAGAGCTGGCTGTTATCCTTGGAATCTGGTAAGTTAATGACCTGCTTGGCTACATTGAACACCTTGCATGTGGGCTCTCTTGTGTTGGGGAAATCTTTATTCAGGAGGTCCCAAGAGTTCTGGGTGAAGAGGGACTCTTGTAATGCTGCTCAAGACCCAGAATAATTAGGTAACCCAATCAAAAAGTTAGAGATTAGAGACCTCAGGAATCTCCTGGGAGTTGGTATTCTCCTCCTTCTCCTCCCTTCATAAGCAAAATTCCTTTGGTTAGCTTTAGCTAGAAATAGACTCTTAATAAAATATTTAGAAGAGGTGAGAATGAGTATTTTGAACTCTGGGAACTCTGAGTATTTAGATCTCAAAAGGTAGACTTATTTTTGAATATTGTAGAACCTTATTTGTGGTGGAAATAGTTTTTTCTTTTATTCTTATATTTTTTTCTATTTTGAAGTAATTTCACATTTGGAAAAAGTTGCCAGGGCAAGGCATTGCAAAGAATTCAAGAGAATCATCTTCAAACACGATACTCTATCACTGGAGTACTTTAGTGTGTGATTCCTGCAAGCAAGCGTGCTTTTGTACATGTCACATTACAATTCTCAAAATCAGGAAAATAACATTCATGCTTACTCTCCTTTAATACTCAGATTCCATTCAAGTTTGCCAGGGTCCCAGGAGCCTCCTCTGTGGCATGGGAGCCTGTCTAGATGTGCGTTGCAGTTAGTTGTTATATCCTTAGTTTCGGCCAATCTGTAACAGTTGCTCAGTTTTGCTTGGCTTTCATGATATTAACACTTTTGAAACTTAAAAGCCAATTATTTTGTAGACGTTCCCCCGGTTCCTTTTTTTCCTAGTAAAATAAATTAAGTTGACATTTAGTACACTGAGCACATTTTGTCAGTATTTTACTACTTTCTGTACTTATCTTTGGCAAACTCCTATCTGCATTTGTATATAATGTAGTAATATTAAAATATGTGCTTTCAAATATCTGAAATAAGTTTACTTTGTCTTTCAAAAATTAGATTTCATTAGACGCAACATGCATTTTAGGAGTAATTTATCTTTTTTTAATTTAAAGCACAAATATGCAAAAGAATAACCCAGTGCATAAGTTAACTGAAGAGGAGTTGCTGGCATTTACATCGGTGAGTAATGTCTTCCTTCTTTCCATTTTCTTTTCTTATAGATTGTTTTGCCTCTGGTACATTCTTGCCTCAAATTGCTCACCTTGGGACACTGCCACTTAAGGAAATTAAGGGAACAAAAACTCATCATTTTTGTTTCCAAACTGCACCTATCTTACTGCTGACTTAAACTTAAGTATTTTTCTTTGTGCTTGCTTGGCTTTAAGGGCAGTGACCAAATATTTCTTGTTCATTTTTGTTCCCAGAGCATTACACAGAATAGGTGCTCAATAAATACTGAAATAGGTGCTCAATGTTGAATGAATGAATGAAGTGACAGAGCAAAAGTTTGAATTTTCACTCCAAAGCCTACCTAGTATACAGCTCTGTTGTAAAAGCCAGGGTATTGCCTACCTGGGTGTGATGAGTAGAGGATTTCAGGGAGCTAGGAGCCAAACCAGGAGAGCATGGGCTATAGAGGCTGGGGAGGGAGGTGGTGTTGAGCATGAGGGGTGCTTGCTCAACAGTGTAGAGGGTCAGGAGAAAAGGCTATGGGCTTTGATAATTGGAGTGCATTACTTATCTCTAAGGACAGTTTCAGTGGACTATCTGGGTAGTCATTCTAGAGAATTAAGGAGGGAATGGGGTATGAGAAAACAAAGTTGATAAAGACCACAGGTGGAGAAAATGGCAATGAAAAGGAAAGAGTAATAGATGTTTGAGGATTTGAGATCAAAGAAGGCTTTTCAAGAAGGGAAAGGTCACAGATGAAGGGGTCACTCAGTATCTTTTTAGCTTTAGGGAGAGAAAGAGGATACGCACATCTTTAATGAACACAAGCCGCTTAAGATACATAATTTTTTTTCAAAGACATTTTTATATCATGGTTGAGACTCATGCTAGAATTCTAATGTTTTATTCCTTTAGTTATTTTTCAGATAAGGCAAAATTAAAGTATTTTATCTGGTAGAAAGAAAAGCTCGCTTACTTTGTACTGTAATATAAATTTTGCAGTAACTGTTTTCTGCATATTGCTTTGAAACTGGTTGGATGTTAATCCTTTGAGTCCTCGGGGTGCCCTTTTTATTTTCCCACTTATTAGAAATCTTTGGTATTTATCATATAGCATGTCTGTGTTTAGATTACTATGTAAAAATCTCCGTATTGTTACATATGCTATCAGGAATTTGACAAGTAAAGTGTTACAAACATTTTTAAAAAGACATTAAAATTATTATGCACTTCCCATCTATTTATGCAGCTAATATCTATTGAAAACCTGATATGTACTAGGTATTGTGCTGGTCATCAGGGATTCAGCAGTGAATAGTCTTCTAAGCGTTTACATCAATTTACATTCTTGTGGGGGAAATACACAATAGACAAAGAGAGAAATACATACTTAATAGAAGTGCACAGGAGAAATGTAAAGCAGGGTAAGGGGATAAAAATGGGAACTGGATGGTAGTGTTAGACAATGTGGTGGGGAAGGTCTCAGTGAGAAGATGCTATTGAACCTCACGTCAGCATGAAGTGAGGCCCAGGGCAGGATGCGGGTCTCTGGAACGGTGCTGAGCTTGAGTCAGTGTCAGAGCTGGAGGGGGACAAGTGTTGATAAATGATGACTAGGACTCTTGGGTTTCTTCTGATGACTGAGGTAAACAGGATGTAGCATATGATAGAAAGTGTTCCTGCTGGCCCCTCTTGGGGAGGATGGTCGGTAGCAACATCCTCTCGGGTCTGGTCTCATAAGCAGTTTATTGTGGAACATATATCATCCATAGTTATCCTGGAAAGACATTAAAATACTCTATTTCCATTCAAACATTTAATTTTCTTTTTAGCTTTTCCTGGGGTTGGAGTATATTTCTTCTCTTTTAAACGTTTCTTTTTCTACTTCTTTTGTGATTCTCTATTATTATAATATTTTATTTCTTTTTCCATTGTTCCTCTAAATTGTGAGGTGCTTCTGAAGATAACTGTTGGGATCCAGCCCCAGTAGGTCCAGGGGTTCCCAAAGGTGTGGACGGAGTCAGCGAAGAAGGAATGACACAGAGACAGCAGTGTTTAGATGATCAGCATAGCCAGGCTCTCTAGCCAGGTTCTCCAGCCAGGTTCTGTCTTTATTGTCCTGTTACATCTGTATTTATACCAGTTGATTTTAATGCTATCCATTCTATTCCAAAGGTTAGAGACCCCTGGGGATGTGGGCCCAACAAGTCCCAAATTTATTGTCAACAGTCTTAGTCCAAGTTCTTCATAAGTAGCATATGGTTGGTATTTCTGTAACACTAGGGGGTTTCACTGATTTATTCTCTTCCTTAGTCCTGTTAATCCCTAACTCCAGGGAAAAAAATCCCCATCTGGGGAAACAACCTTTCTCGGAGAGGTGACCTTGGTTAAAACACATAGCTCTAAGAAGGGGAGCAAACATATTAAGAACAGTATGCCATATACGCCAGGTCCCTTGAAACATATGCTATGCAGATGTTTCTTCCCTGCAGTGACTGTGTCAAGCAGCAAGGATGGACCGGCTTCCGGCAGATAACTTCTGATGCTCATTAACTCATCCTTCCTGGCTTGCAGTGAAGGTCAAGGTCATCAATTCAAGTTTCATACTATTCCCTTAAGGGTTTTGTAACACACACACACACACATACATATATTTTGCTCTCTCTCCTCCTCGAGGTCATTTCCAAATCAGAACTGACCCAAGGACTGATTTCCTTTTGGAGGAAAGCTATTTGATCACAGTGCTTCCTAGTGCTAGGCCTAAAGAGATGAGTGTGGGAATCCCAGGTAAATCTGTAATTGGTAAGAAGTAGGGCAAGGAACTTATGAATGAGGAGAGCTTTTAGGAGCCCATATGTACTTTGGGCTCTATACCACCTCATTCTTTTTTTAATCCCAAAGAAAGTACACAGAATACAGCAGAAAAACCCATATCAGCCCTTGTCAACTCTTCCTTCATCTATCAGTACTTCCTCTTATCCCTGCTTTGTACATGATACTGCACTGGATAATACTGAATTAGAAGTGGCTCCTGGTATTAATGAAGAGTTTCATTGACATTGATATCTTATATAACTACATATCCTTATATAAATATCTTTTATTTATAATCTATTATTTATGACTCCAAAAGAGTATTTGAGGTAAGAGGGAACTCTTTTAGGTGCTACCCCACTTCTGAACTCGTAAACTTTTGTCTGTGCTTCTCTTTGAGCAAGAATCATCTTTGGGCTTACATTATAATTACGTATGTATATGTTCTATCTTCCCCACAGACTATAAACTCCCAGTTTTAGTGGCTGGGTTCTATTCTTCTCTGGGTCTTCTACAAGGCCTGGAACTATGCTTCAAGGCTTTACTCATAGTTGTTACTCAATAAATGTATGGAGAAGGCTAAAGTGCAGGAGCCCGAAACTCAGGCATGTACCCTGACAGGGAATGGAACTGGCAACCTTTTGGTGCATGGGACGATGCCCAACCAGCTGAGCCACACCGGCCGGACTAAAGGAATAGGATTTTTAAGTGGATAAGACCTGTTTGGAATTGGCCATAGATGTGGAAGAGAAGGGGACAGAGAGGAAAGAAGTAGCATCCCCTTTCTTGCTGGGCAGCCATTACCCGCTCTGTAGCAGTGTTGGCGGCCTAGGACTGGGGTTGTGAACTACTGAGATTATGAGGTGTCTTCCTTTGCTGATAGAAGAGCAAGTACAACAGAAGTCTTAATACTCCCACCAGATACTTTTGTAAACATTAGAGGGACAGGACATGGTTATTGGACATTTGGTAAATATTTATTGAATAAACAAATGAATGGCTTATTGGTCCTGAATTTCATTCAGTTTTAATGAGCTGTCCTGAAGTTTAATACAATGATTTCATTCAATTTTAATGAACTGTCCTAAAGTGTATTACAATGTAATCTCTTTTTGTAGAAGTTTTTGCCAATGTTTTCATGTTGCTGTAGCATGTTGAAATATATGTGAGATGTGTTGGGAAAATGTTTTAATTCAGCAGTGTCAGAAGTTTGTCTTAAAAGGAGTACTTTATTTTTTTTTAGTTGTCATTATGTAGTGCTATTCCTGAGATATATCCGCACGTTTCAGGAAAACTGAATGAGTCATAGTAAAAATAACCCAATCTGTATTAGAGAGACTTTACGTCGTATCGGCTTGATAATTTAAAATTAGCTGTTATCTACGTTATTTCCTTTCAGATGAGCCAAGTCAGTTACATTCAGTAATGCTTTTAATTTCCTCTCATTGTTGAAAATGGGAACAATTTTGTTAATTCAGACAGGTGTTTCAGTTTTAATTGGCAAAAGTTTTGCTTAAGTGTGAATTGATATTGGCAGCCTGCCCTCTGACTGTCTGCCCAAAACCCCAAGGTCACTGGAAATGAAAAAAGGAAAAAGAAAGATCTTTGGAAGTTACACATTGCATGCTATGTATTTTCTCTTTCTGCTATTAATTTTAAACCTATTAATAAATACTTATGAACATAAAATAGTTTGCGAACCACTTTTACAGATTTAAATGATCACCTATTTTTTTTTCTAGAGCATCATTTCTTAATTTTAATTTTTTAAGGTAGGTGATACAACTTTGTAGGATAGCCACAACACTTCCGATAGTTTGTGTTAGCATTACATGATGACATGTTCTGTATTAAGTGGCATAGTTCAGAATTTTGATTTTCATTGTGGTTTGAATGCTTGTCTTCCAAAATGTTACTCTGTGTATTTAAATTTAATAGGCATTTATTGATAATGATCCTCAGCAATTGACTGAGCAAGTAGTTAGTATACAGTATTGTTTACGGAATAATAACAAGAAAAGTAAGTCTGTAAATGTTCAGTATAGACACAACCCTCATAGACGTAACTACATGTTAGAAGTCAGCAACAACGTAACATTTTTTAAAGAATATTTTCAGTTCATGATGGGTTGAATCCACAGATGTGGAATCCCTAGTTATGGAGGGCCAGTTGTTATTTGACTATATTTCTTTGC